TTTGTAACTTTGCCGCCAACTCTGCCGCCCACTCCGCCACCCACACGCAGCCCACTTGGCGTCCCGGGAGATTTCAGCGCCACTCTCCAACTGTAAGTGGTAGAGTAGCCTTGCTACTAAGATCCGCTACACACATAGTGCACATTCGCCAGCGAGTCCAGCCTCAATTGTCACGCCTCCATTCGGCTTCAAATGGTAAGTCTTTTAGGCCAAGTAGAAAATGGCATGAGGCCACATGCCATTCAGTAGCAACATTGGCATGAACCGATTGGGCTCTCGAGTGCAGTCCGGTTACAGATGGCGTGTAGCCTCACGCCATCTTAGGATGCAGCCTCAAGACATCTGATGCAGTGGTGAATGGCGTGTGGCCTCACGTTAATTCCAGCTGTTAGCTTTTCATCTGTCAGCTCTAATTGTTGTGCATTTCTGAACAGGCGAGGAATTGCGTTCTTCTTCCAGCCACTGTCAATGTGGATGCAGAGAAGGGGGAGGAGCTCACCAGTTGGACTTTCGGGATGGAAGGCGAGGATCTAAGGCTGTACAACACAGATGGTGGGAGAAAAGAATGCATGGGGATCCTTATCCAAGTGACAGACACTCCATGCAGTTCCATACAAGAATATGGACTGGCACTTGTGGTAAAGACAGCGTCCGCCTTCAAGATCCACCTTGCACATCCTAGCGGCTTCCCGGAGGGGGGCAGCGGCTATGAGGAATTCCTAGAGGGAGCTAGGGAGAAGTTGTCCAGGAGGCCCACAATTTCAAAGACGCTGCGGGTCTATGAAGATTACATGGAATCTATGGACCTCACCTACAGCGATGTTCAAAAACTATATTCCAACATTGAGCCGTTGAGAGTGCCTCCAGTTCGCAAAGCGAAGGGGAAGGGGGTCGATCTGGAAACTACCCCGAAGCAGAAAAGGGTGGTCAAGCTCAAGCCGACGTCCAACTCTCCTGCTCCAAAAAAGAAGCTACTCGGTGATGCCATTGCCTCGGGTTCGAACACTACACCCACCAAAAAGAAGAGCCGCAAAGAGCAGAAAGAGCAAAAAGAGGCAGCAAAAATCGTCGTAGATAATAGTACTTGTTACTATTCCAACAAAGTATATACAATCGACGTGAGCCGTATCGACATCCAAAGCAAATACAACCACAGGCTAGTATCTGATGAGTGGGTGGAGAAGCTGAAGCAGAAGATGTTGGCAAGTCCAGTAACACCCGACATCGCAAACGTGATCCCCTACTACCGAACAATGAAGGGCAAGACGAGGTTTCCAGACTTGATCAATAGGAAGGTGTTAGACGATCAGAACATCCGGTTGTATGCTGTCTCCGGGCAGCATTCTAGCTTGGCGATGCAAGAGATAGTTGTGGATATTATGGTGGGCGAGGAGGTGAAGAAACTCTTCAAGACAAGAGTTGTCCGCCTGATAAAAGGCAATTCGCCCCTCCGATCTATCATATACATCTCCCACGCGCAGAATGTCAAGCAAGAAACGTACTACAAATCGGGTCTGCACGAGACATTGGCACGAACACGGAAGCTCTGGGTTCAACTGAAGAAGCCACAAAAACCAGGGCAAGGACGTGCACTAGCAACTAGCGCCTGGCAGGTAAGCCTCGTTGCATGTGGCATAACATGTGGCCTCACGCCATTTCCATTGCAGGAATTCTCGAGTCTTCTCTCGAAAACACTGGGGGTCAATGACACACTCAGCATCCATAACATTCTACTCGCGACAAAAGTTATTTTTGACAAATGGGTAGATGTGCTGAGGAGGTACCATGACGGGGAGTTGCTAAACTCAATGGGTGTGGAGGACGGTCGGAAGCCCAATGATTTGAAGCTCAACGCCTTGCGTTTCTCGCGGTCTCTAGATGACGACGACCTTCTGACAGTGGCTAATGCTCTTTTACGTGGTGAGGTAGTCTTCAACAAGACCAAAATGACTCCCGGCCATATTGTGACATACGAGGACTTGTGCACGACTCTGAGAGCTCGTGCGCTATTGAAGGATTGGATCTTCGAGCAAGTGGCCGTGGAGAGGGTGAGCATCAACACCACGCAAGAGATGATGGAAGCGCTAGAGTTGTCAAATGAAGACATCGACGAGTACGTGAAGGGGGCCCCCAAGTTCATCGATCTGCTGCGGGATGCCACGAAAAGTAAAGCTGAGAAGTTGGATCAGTATCTAAATTTCATTAAGAGGGATGTCGACCGCCGGCTTCAGAAATAGCTCGACCCCGCAGCAGAGGCCTATCGAGAACCTTACCAGGTATACGTGAATTCGGATGAGGATCAAAGGTGGAGGAGCATCGTTTCCCGCAGAGATGAGCAGGTCAAGAACATCTTTTGTGTGATGGACTTCACAAACGAGGAGATCACTCATGCAGACGAAGTCAGCTCCATCATTGACTTAATGGTGGGACTTGCGGAGGTGGAATCTTCAGTCCACTATATGATCTACGACTCCGAATCCTATCACAAGTTCTGGAAGGCCTTCAACGAGGTGAAGGCTCGGTTGAAAGGCAAGGAGATGCGGCAGATCCATGGGATAATGGCTAAGAAGAAGATACCGACGAATGTCCGCATCTTGGACTGGAGAA